TAATGTCAAACTTTTAAATATATTTTGTTTCTTCTTTATAAGACATGAGATCTATGACAGCAAATTATTTCCAAGAAATATCACCCATTATATTTGTATACCTTATCCTATCACTTACTAGATTAATGGGTTATCAGTAGAAATGACATTTTATTAAAATTTGTTTATAAACATAATATTAATTATTCTGAATAATTAGAAAATTCGATCAAATTATTTCGAATAATTCTATTCCAATAAAACAAATTAGTCACATTATTGTTGAATAAATGTATTATTAAAATAATTCGTCGAATATTTAAATTATTCGAATTGAATATATTGGTATTCTAACTTAACAAATTTTATAAAATTATAGAAACCAACAGATACAATAATATTTATAGATTTAAATGATACATTTCGAAATTTGAACTCGTTTTTTTTTTGCCAAGTGAAAGTTGAACGCGAACGGATTCAATTTTTGTTGCCGAAAGTGAACAAATTTGTTTTTAAACAAAAATATAATGTTTACAAGACAAGAGACTACAAATATTACCTATTTCATATTTAAAGCTGCTTATTCCCCAATCCATTTTAAAAATGATGAAGTTCGTTATTTTATGAAGCTTAGATTAATTGAGGTTTTTTTTAAAATGCTGCCGAATTCAGTTTCGCCTTCAGGACCCTACTTTACATATATTTTTTAGATTAATAGAACAAAATATATTTATTTTAAAATTACAATATTTGTTTTATTCAATATTACATATAAATAATTAAATGCACAAAACAATATGATTTTTTTTTGATGTATACGACCTCGACAATTCTTACCAAGAGAAAGGATTTTTTTTTAAAAAACTAATTTGTAAATAAATATAAAAATATAATGTTTTAATTTTTTAAAAATTTTTCAATCTTTTTAAAAAATAATTTTATTTCAAAAAAATAAATAATTAAACTGAATAGCCCGCACCACCTAATAATAATATTATAGGAAACAAAGGTTAAAATTTGAAGGAGGCGTCATGAATCATGATATAGATGTTTTTAAATCAAATATTTGCTAACGTTCGAAGAATTTAATCAAATATAAATATATAAATTTCATTTTTATATTTTGGTTAATAATTAAACTGTAAATATAAAAGGCTGATTTAAATTACTTTTTGGTTTAGACTTTAGACCCTTTTAGAATATATTTTTAAATTATAAATGAGAAAAAAGAACAACCATTGATGAAAGAAAGGGAGCGGAAAATGGAAGAGATCTGAGATGGAAAAATGGTTTAATTTAAGTATAGGAATAAAGATTTTTCAGTGTTAATGAATTGTCATTTAAGTCTCACGTAAGCTGTACAATCAAATTATCACTAATTTTAATTATAATTTTGTATCATTATGATCTCTCTCTAACAGTGGATTATGTTAAAAAATAAATGATAGTTCTGCTAAATTTTTTTTTGACATATTATCTCTCTATCAATTACTTTTTTTAAACCGTTTTTTTAAACGGTAAATTTTTAATTTTCTATTAGCATTTTGATTAAATTTTAAATATTATATAACGAGTTAATATCATGAAAATTTCATATATAAAAGGTTTTAATAATACAAATACTTTATTTTATGAGTTAGAAATTCTCTATCCTCGAGAGGAAAAGTATTTTAAAAATAATAAAGTATCGGAATATATTACAAAATAAAATTTCTGAATTCCTTTTTTTAATATTATTAAGTATGGCTTTTTATACACAGTATATACGATTTTAATTTTTATATCTGATCATATTATATTGCTTAGAGGATAATTTTTAAAAAAATAGAGATTTTGAAAATTGTATATGGTTATGGCTATATAAACCATATACTCATACAATATAAATTATAACTTTTAATGAAATAGATGCTGATATGATATTCTTTATACTTTATTACAATTACAGAGATCTACTTTTGAACAAAGTTATTTTCCAAACATAAATTTGATGTATTAAAAGAAAAAAATTTTTTTTTGTAAAATATTGAAACTTTTTTGTATTTTATTTAATATTAAAAAATTTTCCAAAGAAAGTTTACTAACGGTTAGCACATTTAACTATAACATTATCCACATATAACATTGACTTTAAAGTGCAACTATTTGTAATCTTATGTTAGGATAGATGGGAATTTTTTTTAAAAAATCACTAATAATTTTTAAAATTTCTTATCTTTTCAACAATTTATCCCTTACAAATTGTTGAATGTAAATATAAAATAAATAAACAAACCTTTATTTTTATGCTTATTAAAATATAAATTTTGATTAAAATATAATGATAATTTAATCAAGTGGAATTATATATTAGATTACAAAAGGAATCATAAATATAATATAAGTCATTTTATTTTTTATATCTCTATTCTTTCTTTATCGCGGGAAACAAATTTACCTTTAACAACTATGACAAAAGTAATGTTATAATCTATATACATATTACATATATGTATAATAATGTAATGGTCATGTTTATGACCAACAAATTATGATAATATTTAGTTACAAATAAATATAAAAGATAACTATATATCATAGTGACCTTTAAGAAAAAAAATATTATAAGGGTATCGTCTAGCAAAAACTGCAAAGAGGAGAAAAGTTTTTTTAAAACATTAATTTTTTTTCCATACATATTTTAAAATTCTTCCCCTATGGGAAATTTTAACCATATCTAAAAAAATGATTATAAAATTAAGTCCAATACCTTTAGTATTACTTTATAAAAAAATCTTTATGTACCTTTTTAACGTTATTTAGACAATTTATAACCTTTTTTTGTCCCAGTTAAGTTTAGATTTTTAAAATTTTATGTTATATCTGGCTTCGACTAAGCTATGAAGATGTTTTTAGATTCGGTTATTATTTGAATATAAACTAGAATACAGGAACTTGTCTGATCCGTTCGAATTATCATTGGATTTGGTCTGACCTGTCATTTATTTAAAACTTTGGGATTGAACCTAAGCAAAAATAATAATTTTCCTGCTCTGCTTGAAAAATAAATATAATAAAATATTTTTTAGACCGGACCTATTTTTAAAAATTGTTTTTGCCCATCGATCGGATAAAAAAAAATTTTTTCTTTGCCAAGACCTAAAAATAGGTTTAATACAGGGCTTTAATATATACATATGTGAAATATATCAGATAAATTGATATACATAAACAAAAACCTCGAATATAGTAAATTTAGATATAAATAGATTTCAGATTTGAAAGGATTGCATTTTAGCATACAAAAACAGTCTTAATTATTATATTAAATTTCCATATAGATAAAATGTGATCCAAAATCGTTTTCAAAAAAAATATTTGACAAATAACAGTGTAATAGTTGAATTATATTTTATTTGTTATTTAATATACAATCGCAACTCTTTAAATTGACCAAAGTGTTTTGTATTTACTTTATGTATGAGGGGGTTTATGGGAAAATTAATAATTAAATTAATAAAAAGAAGATAAAAATAAACAAACTACTATAAACTAAAGCCTACTTGAAAAGAAAATTTAATATTTTTTCTATTTATAAAATTTAAAAGTTATTTTTTGTCTTTTATTGATTGTTAAATTATATATATATATTTTTTTTACTGGTATAATCTCATAATTGTATTTATAAACTTTTCTATTTTTTTAAAATACCGATAATGTAATAAATGCTAAAAATATATTTATAAATTTTTATTTTACAAAAAAAAAAAACACCATAGTCTTAAAAAAAAAATTGATTTTCCTTTTGGATAATACTTTAGAAGTAAAAAAAAATTCCGAAATAAATTCCCAAAAAAAAGTAAAAAGAATATTTGTATTTAAATATTATATTTTAAAAAATATAAGTATACATTTAAATCTAAGCCCTGAGGGCAGTGTTGTTAAACGCCTCAATATTTTAGCGAGAAAAATATTGACTAAGCCTCGAGATTTTTCTAATTGATGTACAACCCTTTTTGCCATCAATTAGCAAAATCTGTAGACTTGCGTAATATTTTCAGCATAAAATTTTGAGTTAGACGTTTTTAAAAATCTACTCAATCAAGCCGTTTAACAACACTACCTGAGGGGGCCAATTCAATTTATGAAAACAGTTTTTTAAATAACTATCTTAGCAGAATCTATCGGTTATAAGAAAATCATGTATTTTCATTTCCGGGAAAAAATAAATCGGTTAATTTAGGAACTATATTTTAGAAAAGATATTGAATTAATTAATTTAAGCAAATTTAACAACATTTTATCATCTTGTGGATGTAATACAGTATTGACCACATTTGATGGAAAACATTTACATTTTTTTTAATTTATTGGAAAATAAAATTATTTGACTTGCAAAAAATTGTTAAAATAGCATATTTATATATTCTTATCAATTTTTACAAGTTAAAATTTTATTTACAAACGAATAGAAAAATAGGGAAATGTTTTAAATTAAATCTGCACAACACTGTAAAATGTATAAAGAAACTTTCGATCAAGAATGTTAAATAAGAACTCGAGTTAGACCTAAAACTAACTATACTTAAAGATATATATTTTAAAGAACGACCAAAGCCACCCTAAAAAATTGGCTGTCAGATTAAGTGCATAACCTTTTTTATCATTGGCTTCTAATGAATTGAATATGTAGTAAATAAACCCCTCTGAGATATAATTTGAACTCAAAAATTAGATTGAATGACTAATTTAATTCAATTCATAACAATTTAAGAAATGATAAATTGCATATTATATAATATTAAGGATTTGTTTAATATACAAACTATACATTTTTATCTCTCTGAAATTTATATATTTAAGCTTTTTTCAAGTAAATTTTTATTTTGAGATATCAGGAACTAGAAGAAGATCAAGTAAATAATTTTTCCTTTTTTGAATTAATTTGCTATATTTAAAAACTTATAGGATAGCACCACTACCTATAAACGTGGTTTATAAAATATAGGAAATAAAATGGAACACCAATAAAAACATTATAAATGGCATGTATAATAAACATTTTGACGACTTTATACTTTTTTGGCGTGATAAATAGCGAAGATAACAATAATGTGATTAGATTTAAAGTCGATTCTCTTAAACCTAATAAAGGTCAGCATAGTTTAAAGGCTTTCAATCATTTGGTCACCAGCTATTATAATGGGATCCCGCTTATATTCGTGACCGGCATTGATGTATTGTTAGCATTAGATGGAAGAGATCTAAGCCTATTGGACACAGTTGATCTAAGTTTTAGCTCCCTATGTAAATATTACCAATATGAGGAATTTTGCTCAAAAATTGGCGGCGTTAGCTCTTTTTTGAAAGACGAGCAACATTCCACTCTGATCTCAACAGCAAAAACAAACTATGCGAATTTTAATAAGTTATTATTGATCGATAGACCAACCCAAGGTCTCATAGTTTGTGGAACGTTTGGAGGATTTTGTCAGAGTTTATCTATTAATTTTGAATTCTTGGCAGGCAAAGATCATCCAAAAGCGAATAAAAATGATTTAAGAGCATCTTTAAATTTTACACAGTTATCTACTACGCCTGTGATCTCTGAATATATACCATCCTCCACGTTAGGGATCATCATAAACAAACCTATGAACACGAAGATGTATTCAAATTATGTGCACAAAGAAGATGCGATATTAGCTCAAAACACATTAATGTATGTGGGGGAAACGTATCTCGGCGATAAACATAAAATATGGTCTGAATTTCAGTCCTCTTCTATCAGTTTAAGATACCCTAACGTAAAAAAATCAAAAAATCAAGCCAATTCTATGTCAAGCAATGGCTTTTTTTTAGCCAATGATGGTATAAAAGGAGGTCAAAGCCGGTTACAAATATTAAAGGATTTTAATCACATATACAAAATTTTGTTCCAGTACGCCTTTCAAGCGGATTCCTTTGCCTATTTCATAAACGTTCAACCAGCCCTAGATGTAACTAATTATCATTCATCGCCTGAACTCAGCAAACAAGGATACCATTCAAAAATATCTAGAGTGTGTTTAAACGACGATTCCTTTCACACTTACGTCGAATTGCCGTTAGAATGCTATATTAATAATAAGGAAGTGCCGAATCGAAGTTTTAGCAATTCCAAATTTCAATTTGAAGAATCAAATAATAAAAACGATCAATTTACTTTATACCCACTTCTGAAAAGAGCCTTTTTTGGTAACCTGGGCGATGACCTGAGTTTCTTATCTAACGAATACGGGATTCATAACTCGTATAATTATAATCGATACCCATATAACGATGACGCAAAGAGCAGGATGTTTAAAAGAGACAAACGAGCTTTAATTGGAATATTCGTGAAGGGCAAGGATAGCATATCTAATTCTAATTATAATACGGGCACTTCAAATTATATGCATAGAAACTCCGATAACGCCTTCAAACCTAACGATGAGGGAAATGGTTCGACAGAGGATTATGCTATTTGCATCTACCCCTTCACCGAAATACAAAATATGTTCGCTCAAAACATTCAGATGTGCTACAATGGTACCTTTCGAACTCGCGGGCTCAACCACATTAACCCCGGAAACCCAAAATGCATCATATCTGTAAGTAATTAAAATTAAATTTATTAATAATATGTTTTACCTAAATCTTAATAATGGAATTGTAAAAATATTTTTTACAAATATTTTATTTATCTTATTTTAGAATTAGCTAAATATAGGTAACGGCAGGACAATTAAAGTGTCTGTTATATTGGGAAAGTAAAATAATCTGATTAATAAATTAATATTTTAATTATGGGATTACGATATACTAAAGAGAGTATGCATATTATCAAACATAACAATATTACCAATAATATTATATCAATTCTTAGAATTATTTGAGAATAAATAACTATGAGTTAATATAAGTAAGATATATTAATTTGTGCGGAATAATTTTATTTTATGCAAATTTTGATTTAATTTGTATTTCTGATTTATTATCTAGTACGTATATATTTAATTACCTTATAATTAATTTTTAGAATATTAATTTAATATTTGGTTCTAAATTTGTTTTTGACTAAATTTATATTTATAAACACAGACGTAACCAAGATTTTCCTAAAAGAGGGAAGAGTTTTGGGAACATTTCCTGCATACATTTTATACTTTTTTCGGGTTAAGAAGTATTTTGATTTTACAACTTTTTTAAATTATTGTTTATAACATATTGTTTCATTTTCCGAGGAGAGGTTGACTGTATCTAGGGGGATAATATTTTCCAAAGGGATGGAGGTGTGCATCTTTATATGAACTATTTTTATATATCATTTTATAATTTTTTTCAGAAATATATTTTTATTTTAATTATTATAGTTTGCAATGTATCATATATGCAATTCATTAGGTTTTTCATATATATCTTTAAATGATCGATATTCTAAAGAAAAATATTTTCAAATTACCATAGTACATTATTAGGTCCCGCCACTGCTACTTTTTTTTATATCAAATTTATAGATGACAGGACCATACAGGGTAATGTATTGTTAGTGTAGCTTTTCTGCAATTTGCATAAATAGTGAAATTTTAACACATAGTCAAAGGCAATTTATCTGAATTTGAAAAAATCACATCAAATTTTATAAGAGAATTCTTTACTAAAAAAAATCTAAAATACATATTGTTAAAAAATAAAAAAGAATTGAAAATAATAAACAGATATTCAACAAAATGTATATGTTTAGTATAATTAATATTCATGCAATAACATATTTATATTTAATAACTTTTTTGTGTGAAATTTTTTGTACTAATTTATTGGATTGATAAAAAATATAAAATATGGTTAAAAAAAATTTTTCCCTATGTCATGCTTTACGATTAAAATAAATTTATTTGAACTAAATTCTAATCCAAATGACATAAAAAAAGGATTTTAAAAAAAAACAGTATTAACTTTAATTCGACAATATATTAATAAATCTTAAGCTCAAATCTAATAAAATTATTTGAGCAAGAAAAACAAAAACCATTGTTTTTAGGGGAAAGAATGGGATGGGTCCAAGTTTCTGCAAGAAAATTAGTATTCTATTGATAAAATATTGCATCTTTTTCGTGATTTAAACCTTATTTATTAATTTATTATATATACATATTAATTTTATGTTTTGCAATATTTTTGCATTAATTTGCTGAATATATAAAACAGTTATATAATGTCTCCCTTATTTCCATAATTTTTTTTTACATTATATCTTAATATGACTTCTATAATAATATATTTTTTTTTCAGATTTTCTCAATTTTTATTTTCGTAAAATTAAAAATACCAAATATCAGGTTGTTTATTAGGATTATGCGCCTAATCCTGCATTCACAATTTGCACGTATTTTTGTATACTTCATCAAGAATTCGAGCTAACTGTGAATGCATGGTAATACAAACAAAATAGGATCATGGGGTTTGCATATAGACTAGAGGCAATGAGTAGATTTTAGCCTATAATCAAGTTGTTAACATTATTATAGCTCCATTTACAACTTAGACCATCGTGTAAAGCAATTCTATTTACATTTCTTTGTTGTTTTATATTTTAAAGAATGATTAACTCATTTTTCATATTTATAGGGCATATTTTGGAATTTATTTTTCCTTTCCCCCATCCATAAAAGAATAGAATCTATTAATGGGTTAAAAAGTATTTAGATGAGTTTAAATTAAAAATAAACATCACTGGTTAATTTGGGAGGTGTATAAAATTCTAAGGGGAAATTATAGATTTTTTGACAATTCTCCTTTTTAAAAACTTCCTATTAATTTGAATTGTTAGATTCGAAAACTTAATGTACCTTTAAGCACCTCAATTTCAAAAAAAAACAAGAAAAATATTATTATTTTTCCCTATTCCAATATATTTAAAAATTATTATTATTTTACAAATTATTATATTTTCTAAAAAAAATATGTAAATTAGTTTTTATAGGAATAGTTTCTATTCGATTTAATACGATAAAGAACCGATAAAAACAAATCTAACATTATTTATATTCAACTTTATTTTGCATAATAACCTATTATTCACGATATATTATACTTACTTAAGATCTCAAAACATAAAAAATAATAAAAACTATTAGAATTTAATGGTCAATAATAATATATTAAAATAAGATATTTTTTATTAATCATTTCCTGAATTATTGTGACATAATACATAAATATAAATTAATTTAATATTAGCAATTTTTTTTTACCCCAACAAAAATTTAATTGAATTAACATTAAAAAAATATTAATGGATTTATTGTATCCGTGTGATTGTATTAAAATCAATGACATATCAATGTTCCCAGTTCCCCACTAATTAAAGAGAATTATGGTTTTACTGATTTTGATCAAGTTGAAAAAAATACAAAATTTATGAATAATACATTAACACATTTAGGAAATGCAGCGCTATATGACTAATTTTTTTAAAAATCTATGAGTAACAAACAGAGAATGCGCCACAGCAGAGCCTAGACAAAATAAATTACCTGCCTATAATTTTTAGGTGGTCCTCATTGTATATAAACAATTATTTCCCAGGAAATTTGGTTTTCGACGTATCTCATTAATTTATTTTAAATAACCGAAGTTTCCAATTACCGTTCTCGCTATAATTTTTTACAAGTCCTGTTAAATATTTTTATAAGTAATAATATATAAACAGGGAATCCCTATGCATTTTTTTATTGACAGGCCTCTGATTACATATTAATATATTTATAACATTCTTAAGAATAAAAAAATTAGCAATAATTCTAAAGCATTTTTTATGTGTAGATTTCAAATTATACTCAAAATGTGCTAATAACGTATTATGAAATAAAATTGAGGGCTAAACATTATTTTGATTCTAAAAATGCAATGCGACTTGATTTTTATCAATAGCCTATAATATTATTTCTTGTTTAAACAAAATACTTGATATAGATATCGATGAAATTCAATAAAGAATGTCAGTGTTGAATATTAAAATACAACATACATAACTTAATTGTTTATAATCTTTTATATTAAATTTGATCTCATATTTCAATTAAGGAGACGATAATTGGAAACGACTTTTGCGACACGACCAAACCAAACCCAAGGTTAGAAGGTAGAGTGCCGTTGAAAAGCTTGGCCATATTTAATCAAGTTCGATCGAATTACACGGTGACCGCACTTACGATTGGCGTGTCGAATACTTTTACAACAGCGTTCATAGGGACAAATAATGGCTATTTGAAAAAGGTATGATATACTAATATTTATTTAATATCATTCTTAAAACTTTTTTTACCTTATTTATTTTTCCAAAATATATTTCATCTTTTCCTAATTAATAAGAATTGAGCCTGTAGATAAAAGTATAGTTTTTAGTTGGGACTATTGTGTATTTAAGAATTATATAACAATAATTAATTTCTATATAATGCCTTCCATGTTATCAAATAAATCTGAAATTTATAAAAAAAATTTCGTAAATTATAGATATTATTGGAAGAAAACTCTAAGATTTATTCAAGTCAAAAATTGGATTCAATATCACTCAGCATTAAAAAGGATATTTTCATAGATGTAATCTCCCAGAATATTTATGCTATGACAAAACACAAAGTTAGTACATAATATATATATAGAGGAGATCAGGGATATTTGGGATACTTTTCGTTCAAATCTGAATAATTTCAATAATATTAGACTATAAATAAAAGTCTTTTGAAGCCTAAAAATATAGGGCATTTGAAATGATTGATATATATTATAAAACCTATAATTTTTTTAAAAAATTAATAAATTTTTTTTGTCCCAATCATGCCAAACTAATAGTTGACCACACATAAAATAGAAGTAAAAATAAATTTTTGATATTTTTATAATACTAGAGGCTGATTATACACAATAATTGGGTAAATTAAATTTGATTTAGAGTTTAAGAAATTTTAGGATTTTTGTTAAAAAAAATTAAAATATTATATAAAGTATATTGTATTAAAAATTAATATTTTAGTTTGATAAATACGAAAATCATTTGTTTTATTCAAAATAAAAAAATATATGTAATAATTTAGGTACAATACAACTATATTATGATCAAATCAAGCATGGCATAGCCAAACTTTATAAATACTTCAGAGTCATATTAATTCATATTCTATGATTAGGGTTAAATTTATTTATTATGATTTTAAAAGCTTTATTTATAAATCTAAAAGATAAAGTTTTAAATGATTTTTTGTTACTTTTGGTATGCTAAAATATTTTCCTCTGTAAAAATTAAAATACTAAACTAAATACTCTTCAAATCTTTTTTATGTATAACGTAATAATATTAGGCTTAAATTTTGAGTCTAATATATTATTTAAATTATAATTGGACTAAGGTTCTTCCTGTACTCAACGTGCCCCAGCTTTTCTTACAATAAATTTAGTTAAAAATTTTAAAATTAATAGAAATATGCTTTAATATAAATAAGTTTACCAATTCTTAATAATTTATTAACTATTATATCCAATAGATTTTTTTTATTTTCCCATGTTTATTTTTATTTTCCTTTCAATTATGTAATATCTAAATAGGTAAATTAATACCTACCAAGTTCGCCTTTTCACTTGGAAATAAAAAATGTGAAATGTCTATCCTATATGAATTATAATGATTTTGGATAGCATTCCGTTTTTCAAAATTTTTTAAATATATTAAATGTGAAAAATTTATTAAAAAATTAAATCTGCCACTAATATTGTTTATTCTTAGATTTTTAAGATTTATTCACGTTTCTTAAATAAATACATTTCTGAGATGATTTTTTTGAAATAGGAAATTACAGAGGGTTTTTTTAAAACAATGGGAGCAATTTTTTTCCTAGACATCAATAAAATTTTTTTATATTAAATACAACATTTTACATAATCTCCATGGAGTGGGTTTCAACCACAAATCCCCTCCCCCCATCCATATTTATCTATTCCACTACATATATACCTATATTTTTATATCTTGCCGATAAGATGAAATATTCATCTTAATTTATATACATAAAAAATTTTTTAAATTTAACATTTTTATTGTAAAGCTGTATATTATGTAGTGTAAAGCTTTTTACATCTCTTTGACCTAAATTAAAAATTTAATTGAAAGTAAAAGTAGTAGAAGAGTCATAAAAAAAATTCTTTTGATCAATTTTTAATTGTCTAATTCCAAAATATAATTACTAATGGGCATAAATTTTAAGTTTTATTATGTAAAAAGTTTTTAATATTATATATTATATTACTTATATAATTGCAAAGAACTTCCTAATGGATTCATAAATTATAGCCTTATGTTTCTCATATCTTTTTATTATTTTAAAAATGGGTTCATTTATTGATTAAACTATTAAATTAATTTTATTTTTCCTTTGTAATATACCTGGCTTAATAAATATTGTATTACATAACTTCTTTACACTTTCAATTAATTTTTTGACAAACAAAAATAAAGTTATACAAAATTAAATTGGCGTCTTGCAATGAATACACAGATTGCCTAGGTTGCATGAGATCTGGAGACCCCTATTGCGGTTGGTGCACGCATGACAACAAGTTAAGATATATTACTATAGAAATGTTTATCATTTCTTTTTCTTTTTTAAAAAAAATACAAAGTAGGATTATAAATGGGAATGTTATAAGCCAGATATAATTTTGTAATATTATATTTAAATTATTACATAAACATTGAACACTGTTATTTAATCGATTACATCTTTCGTCTATCCATTGAGAGAAATATTAATTATTACATACATGTATTTTATGTTTTTAAAATCTATCTTAGAATATTCTTTTATTGTAAACATTTATTAGATGTTCTTTGCAGTCAGAATGCATAACAACATCGATATTTAACAAATGGTTACCGTATCGTTCCGAGCAATGTATATATTTCAATGCGATTAACCCTTCAAAGGCAGAACTAACTCAAATGATCAAGGTTTAATTTTTTAAAATAAAATTAACTAATATATATTATTTTAAATAATCGAGCTTATTCATTTAAACACTTTTAATTTTAAACATCTATATAACTATTTTTTTAACATTAAAAATCAAAGATACATCTCAACATATCCCATTTACCTTCTTTGATAACATCCAAATCAAAATATTATTGCGTATTTGACGAGTCTACATCTATCGAGGCTGTTATACAGGATTGGGGTCTAATTTGTTCTTTGCCCGCATTTGATGAAAGGCCTATCATTGATTCTTCATTAGGTAAAAAATTTTTTTAAACCTATCTTTCAATGCATCTCCAGGCTTGTATCTGGGGAAAAAAATAATTGTATTGAAATAATCATGAAAATAATATCTTTATTTAATATTATATCAGGTTTCACCCAGGTGCCTTTAAAAATTTACTCTGATCATTTTAAAAATAAAATACTGGCTTCTCAAGTATTTACATTTTACGATTGCAGTCATTTGACGAGTTGCAAGGAATGTACGTCCACCAAATGGAATTGTAATTGGTGTCTTTACGAAAATGCTTGCGTTTATCAAAACCAACCTTGCAAGACAAAAGTAATAAAATATGTATCTATAAATAATAATTGAATTATTAACTAATATAATTATTATAGTTATTTATAGGATTTGACTTAAATTCCTTAAAAAAACTTTTAATGATTTAAAAATTTTTTATAACAACTTGAAAAAATTAATTTTCTTATAGGGTTGAAACATGTTTTTAAGGTTGAATGTTTATAAATAAATTAATTTAGTGGGTAGGATGAGAAGTTTCCAACCATATATTATCATTAAGGAATGAATGGGATTAGATCTTAGTCTTGCACAAATAGCCAATCAACATTTCTCAAATCTCCAAAATAAATCAAATAATTATTTAATTTTTTTTATAATCAAATTTATTTTAAGAATACTAAAGGTAATATACGATCATCCGAAAGATGCCCAAAATTTGATTACAATTTTAGTCCAAACATTTTGATCCCTCATAAAATCCCCACAGAAATTACTATCAAAGGCAAAAATTTACCCATATCATTGGTAATTTTTAATCTTATTTTATCTAAAAATTATATATATTTTTTTCTCAGGGTGAAAAAATCGAATTTAGTTGTTTGATAGAATACAACAACCAAAGCGTGTACGTTAAGGCTCATACCGATAAGAACTTCAATTATATTTACTGTAAAGCCAAACAAGTAAGAAATACATAAAACATATAAATATATAGGAGAGCTGGGCTAGTTTAGTCAGTTTAGCCATGGGACGTTGTAAACCACTTGATCCCATTTGTATATTAAAATCCTGGGTATTTAAATTTTGTCCTAATATAGATGTAAATTTACTTAAATAAAATTTTAATATTAATTTAACTTTGGTAGCAAAGTTTGACCTTATTTTATAATTTGAGAAATTTTACGAATATTTATGGTTATCCTTAGCTAATATTTTGGTTATGATGTAAAGCTAGTGCTAATGGGGCCCGGGAAACAAGTGTACAATGGCTAGTATATCATTTTTATTTTATTTTTAAATTTTCAAGATAGATAAAGGGCAAGGCGTGCCTCTTGTAAACATTTTATGAATATAATGTTATTTTAACCATATTAATAAACATTTTAACTTTTATGTTATATTTTTATAACAACAAATGATATTATATAATAAATGAATTTATACAACTTCATTTACAAAACTTTATTACTTTAATTTATTTAATATTTATAATACAATAATGATAGTTATATTAATATTGAACAAATATCATATGAGATATAATAAATTTCAAAAAGTATATTATTCAAATCAAAATGAACGCCATTAAACTTGGGGAAATCATAATAGTCGTCACTTCACCTCTAATATTTGGTTAATTGGCCTTTACCTTTAATGAAGGTTTAAATTTATTTAGGCATAGAAAAGGTTTTAAAACAAACTTATGTTTTTAAGTCTACGTTTGTCTATGCCCTTTATTTTATTATATAAACCTAGCTCTATTGAATTTAAATCGAATTAATGAAAAATATTCCAGTAAAATCAAACCTGTGTCTGATAATAATTTTTTAAAGTCTATTTAACATATGAAATTTCTTGTTAAAAATAAAAATCCCCTTGGGAAATCATAAATTCGCCAAATCAAGGAGCTCCTTTGATTTATCATGATATTTGACTAAACAAATGATTCCCTCAACAAAACACATGTTACCTAGACCCTTTTATTTCATATAAACTCGATGACAACATTATTGTGAATTTGAGGGGTTCTTTATAAGCGCCAATTTGTTTCATCACAGAGAATGAGGATTCATCCAGGTATTATTCTTTCGTTTATTTGAGTCTTCTTTTGCTGACATGCTAGGAAAGGCTTTTTCTTAAAAAATAAAAATGAGAGCCCCTAATAAATTGCAAAAGCTAATAAATCAATTCTTCTAGTGCTATTATTAATAGAATTATTCTTTGGAAAATAAATTCAATTCTAAAGTAATACCAATTACTTGAATTTATATTTACCATCAATATTTTCAAACATTTCAAATCTCACTAGGTTGTATATTATTACACTTTTTCTACCTTTTTTTTCTATGAAAACTGTAAGATTGAGAATTTTAGATCTATATATGATATCACGAATAGTTCTACCACTGATCAATATTAAAATTTTGTCATAGGATCCCATGTTTATAAAATTTGAGTTTTTTTTAATGAAAGGAAGTTGAATAACTACGCGTTATTTAATCAAAATGTAACTTATAATTTTTTTTGAAACACAAAACAATAGAAAATGATAATATTAACAAGAAAACGTTTAATTTAATTCAAGGATGTTCAGTCTATTTTAATTATTTAAATATCTAATAATTATTTATATCATTGGTAAGGCTCCAGAAGATGATAAATTATGATAATACTCCCTTTAGAGGCATTTATTAATATATGTATAAAGTATTTCCTGAATTTTAAAAGTTACGGAAGTTATAGACCAATTAATAAAAAATAGTGGTTGGCATATCTCTGATCTCTCCTACTCTGTAAATATCCACAATAATCTATCATCCCCAATTTTTAACAAGAAAAGATTAAGAAAAATATAACGATGCATCGCTTTATAATTTTATCCCTTAAATAAAGATAGGGTATTAACATTTCGTTCAAATAGATATAATCTTCTAATGGAACAAATTATTTCCTAATTTATTTTCCAATTAAAATTTTTTTTTTGAAATTAAGGTTAGTTAATTTTGGGTCTTGATAATTTAAAGATATGAGTAGGCAATTATTATGTCAAAATTATCATTATTATAAATAATTTTTGTCAAATTTAGTTTTTAAAATATATTCTTATGACCATTTTAAAGTATTACTACGAGGAAGATAGCCCGCAAATGGATGGTATATTATCGGTGTTTTGGAATGACCATCATCTTATAGATAGGGTTCAAATAACGTTGTATAAATGCGAAAATTTAGCCGAAGACTGTACTTTATGTTCCAATTTAGATCCTATATATAAATGTATATGGTGTCCAACGGAAAAAATATCTAACCACTCCTCCGCTTTAGTCGAAATTACCCCCCACGGAGGTAGATTTACCAAATCTTCCTGTTCACATTCGCATCAATGTCACTTAAACCCAGCGTTTAAAAATTTCGAGAATAATAATTTACACCATTCCAAGTGTCCTGCACCTTTAATCATATCAGTATTATTATTACAATCAATTTTTATAAAATTAATATTTTACAATTAAAATTCCGTGGCGTTCCTAGCTCCTATCATTTAGGGAATGCTGAATAACTAATTTATGCTCAAAGAAACCGTTTAGTCAATTGAAAATTTTTTACACACTCTTATTAAATTTAAGCATGCCTTAATGAGGCCACGGAGGATAATATCATTTGTAAAGCATCAAATAGATTCAAAGTGTGTAATTACTAAATAATATTTTGCAATTTTATAGGGATTACTAATTATTATTGCTAATTATATCTATTCTATATCATAAACTATATGTGTATACATGTTTCTATATTATATAGGCGTATCCCTTGTATGGACCCAAAGAAGGTGGCACTCTTATCACACTGCTAGGACACGATCTTATGAAAAACTATGACCAAGAAATATCTATCACTATCGGCGATAGTCCCTGTTTGATTGAAAATTTTGAAATATCCAGAAAGTAAATTTAAATAACCCTTAATATTAAAAAAAATTAAATCCCTTTTACAAGAATTAAAATGTTTTGACAATCATTTTATTAATTTTTTAAAATGATAATAGGATCATATGCCGAACAACTTCCAGTTCGAAAACAGGTTCGAATCCTCTGAAACTGGGGAATCAATCACCTTCTGTCGCTAAAATCAATTTTGATTACATGGTATATTTTTTGAATTAATTTAAATGTATTAATTTCTAATAAATCAATTAGAAGTTCTACAAAAATAACCCTTCGACTATATTCAATAAGTTGGTAACCAAATATAACCAAAAAATATTCATAAAAACACAATTTTTTTAAAATCAAATATACCCTCAAAAAATTATATATAACATATGAAATTGATTATTGTTACTTTGCCTATGGTTTTTTTCATAAGTGGCGTTTTTATTTTGCTTTTTGGCAACCATTTTTCCCCTTGAAAAAATGAGGTAAATATTAATTGCCAAACAAAATAAGCCAAAATTTTTTTAAAAACTAATAAAATACTTTTAAAATAACTAAAAAAAGCAAAAAAAAAAAATCAAAATTTATAAAAATTCTCCTTATATATGGAAAATTATACCTGCAAACATTTCTAAAAAAAGAAACGCGTTCACGTTCGTTTAAAATGTGTTTTTTTTAATTTCATTTATATTTAATTTAATATAAATAAATACCGTATATTTTTTAAAACAATATATAAGCCATTTTAAAATTAATATAAAAATATTCTTATATATTAAAAAAAAATTCAACTATATAAAAAATATATAAATTTATTTACTTTGAATTGTGTTCAACTATTAAAATATAAAACCCTTATTAAACCTAAAAATAATAGCGAAATTTCAAATAATCACATTAAAAATAGATATATTTAAAAAGATATTAACTATTTTATATCTGTGAATATATATAATATTTAATGATTCTTACTTTATAATAATAATCATAATTTAATAAGCCTATGAAATGCAATAATCTAAAATAAATTATTAACAGGATTTTTTATAGTTATACTATAAAAAGAATAAATTTCAACTCTTTAAATTTGAACTTGAAGATTTGGACATATTTTACATTTGGTAAGGTGTAATTGGTATATTAAATATAAGTTAAAGTAATTATTATATTTTGGCCATCTTTATGTTAATTCACCTTATTTTGAAAATAGTAGCTGGTATAAAAAATTCAAATGTGATAAAGAAACAGCTAATTTTCTTAAAATATTTGAATTAATATTAAATTAATATTTTTTATTTTCAAATAAATAAAAATAAGATTTTCTAAAATTAAACGAACGTGAACGTGTTCGTCATAAAAAAGGAACGCCTTCATGTTCAAAATTCGTAAAAAAATAAAAGTAACGCCGTTTATCATTTTTTTCAAAAAGAATGAACTTCGTTTACAACATTAGATTCTATAGATAACAAAATTATTGTATAATTTTAACATAATACTCGATTCTACTTAAATTTAATATAGGCTAAAGCGTAGGATTAATTTTTTTGATATGAAATATGTTTTGGATTAAAATAAAATTTTCCCATGGTTGTAATTGCATCAAATATGGGCGTAGAGTTAGTCTCTACGATTGTTAGAGTTAAATTTTATTTTAAAAGATCTGTTTTTTGAAATTACTTATTTAGTTAATTTCATAGAAATAAAATTTGTATTAATTTATAATTTGAGATTGAAAAAAGGTTCATTTATATTTGATATAATACAATGCAATATATTATAATTACCTTTGAATTAAATAAGGATATTGATGTCTACTCTATCACTCCTGAAAAAGGCCCCATGTCTGGCGGAACAGTAATTAAGATTATTGGCAAAAATATCGATGTTGGCTCTCAGAGAAAAATATATTTCGATTATATACCTTGTCACATAATAAAGTATGAATTTAATTATTTTTTTAATTTTTATTCATACCGAGATATCTTAGGGATGTTGAAGACTCAAAAATTACTGAAAATGGAAATAAAGAGATGAACGTTTTGCATTGTTTAACTCAGCCCGTTTCCTCAGCCCCCTTAAAAATAAATTCACTAAAACTTGAGGTTGATAGATTCGAAAAATCTATATCTATAGATTACGTTTTTATGCCAGATCCTGTCATTAATTCTATATATCCATTAGAAAGTTTTATGAGGTAATTGAATTAATTTCCATTTGAATACCATAAACAAAACCTAAAATATAATTTAAATATTAGTATACCCAATATTGTTATAGGATTCCTTTTTTTGTGTGAAGATTACTTTATAAATGCTAAATAAATTATTGCATATTTTGTTAAGGATTTTATTGTTAAACGGCTCGTTTTGAGCCGATTTTAAAAAACGGCTAACTCAATATTTCATCCAGAAAAATATTACCCGCCTGAATATTTTGCTCATAAAAGGAAAAAAGGTATAGAAATATATTAATATCGAGGCTTAGTCAATATTTTTCTGGCTAAAATATTGAGTTAGCCGTTTTTATCGGCTCAGAACGAGCCGTTTAACAACACTAATTTATACATCAAAAATGAGGCAAAAACTATATGTAACGATGCCCTCTTTTTTTAAATATATTTATAATTTAATTTTTTAAAAATATTTAATCAAAAGCGGAGGAAGAAAAATATATATAAGTGGAAATTCATTGAACATAGTTTCAAATGCTTATATCTTTTTGGATTTAAACAGATTTAATATTGAATATATGGCGAGAGTGGTATATAAATCTCTATATATTTTTTAAATAATATTTTTTTTTTAGAAATGTAACATAATAAATTCAACCATCATTATTTGTTTATCGCCTCCTTTACCTTATTTGATTACTTCCAATTACACAAATGAAATAACCTTTGGTCTTATTATGGATAATGTCGTTTCTCTTAGAGTAATTTATTACACTGATACAGTTGTTTATATCATTTTCATAGAATATATCATCATATTATTCTCATCTACCCTCAAAACTTACGTACTATCCCGACCCAAAATTTTACCCCTTTTCAGAACATGATAATGTCAAAATTTTTACTGGAGAATCCATTATTATTGAAGTAAAGAAAAAAAATTTATAATAGAAAAAAATATAACATCCATATATTAGGGTGCTAATATGAGATGGTTAGACGATATAAAAGTGATGATTGGATTTGAATCTTGCCCAATTACGCTCATTTCAGACTCACGTATAGTTTGCGTGCCACCTCCAAAAGAAGCTTTGATATTTCAACCCTATTTAGAAAGTCAGGAATCATCTGGGAAGGATATGAAATTTAATGAAAGACTCATGATCCAAAATGAAAAAGTTCTCCCCGTTTGGGTATGGTGATATTTTTTTATACCAAATTAGTAATCCTAACTTTTATTCAATTCTTTTTTAGCTCACATTTGGCGATATTAAGGTCGATATAGGTTACATAAAATATCTGCCACTTAACTCCCCCATAATAGCCAGAATATCAAATAAACCACCCAAGTCAATGCTGGTATTTATAACAATCGCTGGATTGTTCTTATTTGCCATAAGTCTCGTAATATTTTTCGTTTTTAATCGGCGTAGTAGATTGGCCGAAAAGGAATACAAACGAATTCAAATTCAAATGGAAACTCTTGAAAGCAATGTCAGATCGGAATGCAAACAAGGTAAATTAGTTTATTTTCATATTTTACTATGAATTATGATGCAAATTTCATCATCTAGTTTAAAATTATCTTTAATAAGTTTTCAAATTTACCGGTCAATATTATAAACTTTTATTTCGCTTTGATTTGATTGGAGATAAGCTCGCTCCAAGCCAGACAGTCAGCCAATTGTTAAAATATAAATCTATATTATATTTTTTCCTCTTCAGCTTTTGCAGAATTGCAGACCGATATGAGTGATGTCAGTAATGATATAATCCTCTCCGGAATCCCATTCTTTGATCGAAAAACTTACATTTCAAAAATATTTTTTTCCGAGATGAATCATTACGAAAGAAATATACTCTTTGGAAGCCACCCAAAAGTTTAATTATTTATGATTTTCAATATATTTATATTAATACTATATATTTATTAGGAGGAAATTAAACGGAATCCTTATCAAATGTGCACCAACCTTCTCGATCAACATTTATCGTACGGCCAACAAAACTTCAGTAACGGACAAGGAAATGTAAATGGCATGGATAATTTTAATGGCAAAAAGAATAATTTCGCCACTATAAGCAAAAACTTTCATTCGAATAGCTCCTCAAATAAAACCCCTTTGTTGATAGACTTGAGTTCGTCCTCGATATCTTCCAAAGATGCGTCAATTTCTTCAGATATAACAGTGATGTTGGACGAAAAAAGTAACAACAATATCAATGATTATTGCGATAAAAAAGATTCAACCAATAACATATTCAATGTTGATCACTTTAAATCCTCCCTAGATAAAGAGGCTATATACCCTAACAATCAGAATATCGCATTTAAAACATATATTCCGAGTTTTGACATAACCTCCATGAACCTCTTTCAAAATAGTTCAGCAATGAAGTCTGATAATAACAAGAATTTAATCTCGTTTGGGTCGGATGGATTGAGAAATATAGCAATCTTTGGAGAAGATCATAACAGTGATGCATATATGAATCCGTTAGCTATGTCTAAATTTAAAGACCTTTTGTTCAACAAAACCTTTTTATCAAATTTTATAACCATTTTGGAATCTCAACCCAATTTTACAGTCAAAGATAAAACGCGACTTGCCTCATTATTGAGTACTTTGTTTCTAGAAAACACGGAATACAACGTTGAGATACTAATGACTTTATTAGACAAACTTATCCAGAGCAATGTCCAGAGTCACTACAACCCTCCGCATTTATTCCTGCGGCGAACAGAATCCGTAGTCGAAAAAATGTTAACCAATTGTCTTTCGTTATACATGTACGATTATCTCAAAGTAAATGCCTTATTTAAACTTCATAAAAAAAGTTAATATACTGTAATATTAAATTATATAAGGGGATAATTATTTATGAGTTAATTAACCTACTTAAAGGGATGTTTTTACGGTAATATATATTGGGTTTTTATGTAATTTGAAAGTACATTTCTTATTCATCAAAGGGCATGGTGTAATTAAACCCCACATATTACGATAATTAAATAAACAATTTTGAATATATTTTATTACAGTAATAATTTTAATCTTTATAGGAAAACGTGGGTAGTCCGTTTTTTTATCTCTACAAAGCATTGAAATATCAAATAGATAAAGGACCCGTTGATGCTATAACTTACGATGCTCGTTATTCCTTGTCTGAAGATCGATTATTAGTTGATAAAGTGGATTATAAAACATTGGTAATTTAGTAATTTATTATTTTTTTAAATAATTTTTCATATTAAATTTTTTTTCAGAATATATACGTGGTTTATGGCGAAGATAAAAATTCTCAGACTTCCTCTTGCAAAGTTAACGATTGCGACACCATTAGCCAAGTCAAAAACAAATTGTTAGAGACGTTATATAAGAACACCCCTTATTCGTACAGACCTTATGCAGAGGATTTAGATTTAAGTAACAAGATTATTAAAGATTAAGTTTAGTTTTCTATATATATTACGCTCTCAAAATGAAAAAAGGAATAAAATGCTGAAATTTTTATTGTTAATCGTATATCTGGGCCTGGGTTTTAAAAATATAAACCTGGGCTAGGCATAACCTTTTATGTCGTAAAAAAATAAAAGATACAAAAAACCAAGGCCGCAAAAAGCCGGGGATAAGTGGCTGAGTTGTAAAATAAATTTAATAAAACCAAATTTACCAATTATCGTCTGTCCGGCTTATAAAGTGTATTACGAAAAATTTTTTTTCAATTTAATAATAAGTATGGAAACACGGAAAATATGGTCCGTTTATTATGAAGGATGAAGACAATACATCATTAGTAGACGAGTACAACAAAAATAGGGTGCGTCTAAATACCTTGCAACATTACAGAGTCAATGAGGGAACGACCCTTATACTTGCACCCATTCAAATAAATCCTTATGAAAGTATAGCGTCAAAAATTCCTTTTGATTCTCCGAATCCCAAAATCCTTCAATATAATCAATATACTATGGAACAAGGTGGAAATCATTATGATCATCTCCAGACATCGTCCAAAGCGACTTATTTTAATACGATGAGTAAAAAAAAAATATTTATATATTGTTTTATAATAGGAATTTTTTTTTGCGTAGATAATAAATCCCAACTAATCAATCATTATGGCGGCCTGACACTTCATAAAAAATATCAAACAAATAGCCATAACGATAAAAAATTTAGTAAAAATATTGCACCCACCTATTGGCATTTGGTATAATTATATAAAAAGAGTTTTTTAAATAGTAAATTAATTACAACAGATAAATCACCGCGAAAATTTAAATGAAAAAGGCTCGTCGAATAATACAACAAATAATATAATATCGGAAATATTTCTGACTAGATTACTATCCACTAAAGTATGTTATAATTTATATTTATTTCTTTCTATTTTGTAAAACTGTTTATTATCATGGACTCGGAACAAATAAATTTTTGCGTTCCAAAATGTTCGCGTTCCATACTCTGACTAGTGTTGTCAGACGACTCGATCTATTTTTAAAAAATAAACAAAATAATATTATATAAATGAGCTTTCTTCCCGCTGGTCTAGCAACACTAATTAATAAGACATTATCGATTTATAAATTATTTTATGCTGGGGTAATAAATTTGACCTTTAGAGTGAAATTTAAAACTTCTTATATAATATTAATCTTATAACAAAACAGATAAAATTATTTTGTTTCCTATAAAATTATTTAAAAAAAATGCTTTTATAACCTTAAAAATCACACAAAAATACTAAATAATTGGCAATAAAATTGTTATGTGAAGCAAACTGGAATTTATTTAACGATCTCTTATATAAGTATATTATATTTATAATTGTTATAAATCAAATTACAATTTTTATATTATTTTTCAGAGCGTTCCAGGAACGTTCTATGAATCATCGTTCCACTCCTGTTCCATAATTTTTTTCACGTTCAGATTTAAGAAGGCCGGAACTTTCCACTCCATATCCATATTTATTATTTGTAAATATATACTGAAATCCTTGACTTTTATAAGGGATCGATTCTATAATTTTTCTAGAGAAGACCATGATTTAATTATCATGACAAAGTTTAATTAAATTATTTTTCGTATTTCTAACAATAACTGAGGGTCGCTATAAAAAAATTCGGCATATACACCGTAATGATTTATATATATTATTATATGTTAATAATTTTTATATGTTTTAAGGGAACAATTCAAAAATTTGTAGATGATTTTTTCAAAGTTGTACTTTCAACTAACACTCAATTACCTTGCTTTGTAAAATACTTATTCGACTATTTGGATTTTCAAGCCGAGAGGCTGAATATCGCGGATCCAGCAGTTGTACACTCCTGGAAAAATAACTGGTTAAGTTTTAATCTATTTTTATAAATCATCTTAATGTTTGACTTATCGACAAAAATTTTATTATTTTATCAAAAAATAACCTCCATATAAAATTAAAGCCTGCCTTTAAGATTTTGGGTAAACATCATAAAAAATCCAGATTTCATATTCGACGTTAACAAAACACACACCATAGATTCTAGTCTTTCGGTATTAGCTCAAACATTCATGGACTCATGTTCCACGTCCGAATTAAGATTGGGAAAGGTTTATTATACTTATTAAGATTAGCTTTAAATTATATTTAAAACGAATAGGATTCACCATCCAACAAGCTATTATACGCCAAAGAAATTCCGAATTATCGGAAATATTTACAAAAATTTTATGCTGATATCAAAGCAATGCGTACTGTTAAAGATAGCGAGTTGAGGGAATCAATGTCTGATATATCTAAGAAACATAATTGGAATATAAACTATCCCGTAGTCATATATCAAATTATTCAATACGCATTAATGTACAAAATCGAGGTAATATCGAATATTACATTTAAAATAATTTAAAGCAAATAAATATTGAAATAATTATATTATAATTTATCTTTTCAATACAAAAAGATTTTAGAGGGCCTAGAACTAAATTTTGCTTGCAAGAGAAGTGACATGAGCAAAATATTTTTAGAGATAACTAACCAATCTAATTTTGGGTCGAGCAAATTGATAAACACTTCCAAAATCCTAACAAATAATATTGGCTTCTATGATACTATCGACAAATTCAGTGTCAAGAACAAAAACGGGTATACATTACTTCCTTCTGTCTCGTCTAACCTCAATACTAACCTAATAGAATATCAAAATTCCTTTTCACGTGTATGACTATGAAGTTTATCGTCTACCAAGCAAATAAATAGATTATTTTCAAAATCGAAAAATAAATTAATATATAATTTTTAATATAAAAATCGGTGCAATTTTGTTCTTAGTATTTATATAATATGTAATTTATTTCAAAAAATCGCTTTTTTATAATATCAAATATAAAATACATTTATGAAATATTTTAGAGTGTATACTAATATAAATATAAAAGGAATTAAAACATTTTTTAAACATGAAAAATACATTTATATATTAGTGAAATTTGTTTACTGATTCTAATAAAAACTACAATTAACATATATATAAAAAAGATCATACAATACATCATTCATTATTTCATACGAATTCCATACCAAGAAATACTATATTTTTATAATAGACATAAAGTTAGAATAACTATAAAATATTTCAAAAATTTCGCACCCACGATCGAAAAGACAAAAATTTAGCATTTAACCAAATTTTTGAATGACTTGGGGTAATGTGTTTTGCATCTTTCTCAATTGAATGTTCACTATTTTGGCCTGATTTCCCAATTGAATGTCGAATAGCGGTTGACTTTGATGTTTTATTTTTCCTATTATTTAAAAAAACAATGGCTTTAATTGAGGTATACTTTAATTTACCTGGCAATGGCCAATGTATTAAAATAATTTATAAAATTGTCAAAAAATCGAATAAACTTGTGTAATTATATTTGCTTTTATAAGTTATCAGAAAATTTTTTTTTTAGCATTAGCAAGTCTATTCCCAAATCTTGCCATATTTATGATATTTTTGGCGTAGTCCAGCCAAAATTGATATTTGTTAAATTATTTTTTTTTAACTCACATTATTCATATTCTATTACCAATTTCTATCTATCCCTCCTAAAATCCAAAAAGGTTTTGACGGTTGTAAACTTAGGTATCTGAAAAGATTTATAAAGATTAAAGATTATTTGTATTAAGGTTCGAGCATAAAGTAACAATTAATTTTTTATAAGTAATATCAAGCGTTGTGTTTCTCAAACGCTAGAACTCTGGTATGGCTTTAGTCTTATAAAAAACTACATTATGTACATGTTTAATTTTTATAACGTGACGGTTTCAAAATGATGTTTACCAGTTGGCTTTGGTAGAGATATTAAAATTTAATAAGCCCCGAATAATAGCCTGATTTAAATCTTCCGATTTTTTATCCTAAGAAATAAATTTCTTAGCTCTGCTGAAAAGAATTACATACCATAATAAGCGCAATAGACACTTATCATTAATTGTGGAAATATGATATTCGATTAGCTCTTGACTTCCATATTGACATGATACTAACCAACAGTTGCAAAATGGCTCAGAAAACATTTTTTAATAAAAAATTAAACTCTTAAGCAGAAACGCGCTTAACGCATTTATAAGAAAAAGATACCCATTATAGGTAAAATGTGAGAATCACTTATAATTTGGCTCAGAAAACATTTTTTAATAAAAAATTAAACTCTTAAGCAGAAACGCGCTTAACGCATTTATATCAAAAAGATACCCATTATAGTTAAAATGTGAGAATTACTTATCATTTAAAAGTAAAATTTCTTCCTATCCCTAATGACTCATACCAGAAGAGTATCTGTATGCTTCCTTAAAAAATAATCATACCTATTTTAAGTTTTTGGCATTACCATTATGTGTTCCATTTAATTAATAAATTTTTCTGTTAAGAATTATTTTAAATTTAAAAACATAACTATTTATATTTTTAGAAAGCATTATATATTTTTATATAAAAGTTCAAAGATAGTAAATTTACTGGTGTTGTTAAAAAGCTTGATTAAGGTTTTGGCCAAAATAATATTGTGTAAGTCTCAAGGTTTAGCAGATAGATGTCCAAACCTTTCTAACAACTATGAGCAAAATCTCTAAGCCTACATAATATTATTTGGTTATAATCTTAATCGGGCCGTTTTTAAAATTCGACCCGAAATGGTCTTTTTAACAACATTAAAATTTACCTTAATTATATTTTTATTTTATTACTTATTTGAATTCCCCATAATTTTTTCGACTTGCCTATTACCAAAGTCCATAATTGATTTCATAAAATTTGGCATGTTTGAACGATCAGGGGATGTTGACGCTTTCAGCAATAATTCATTCCCGATATTTGTCATAGACCTTGAATCCCGAACACTTTCATCATCCTTACAATTTTTCCCATTTGGATCTATAGATGTTAATTTACTTTTTTGCCCATTTGAATCTAGAGGTGTTAATTTGCCTTCTTCGAATTTCTTCTCCACTGGCTTAGCCAATCTTTTATCATGGGCACTATTTTCAGATTTTTCAATCTTGGGAAAGGCCCCATCATCTCGATTACCGAATTTCGATCTCACATATTGTAACTTTTCATTTTTCATTTGCATTGATTTATTGTAATATTTGATGGAATATCTTTTGACATTCTTGTCAATATATTGGTGCAAAAACAATATTTAAATAAAATTATGTAAAATTTAAGGATTTAACAATAAATAATTATTTTATGTTTATAATACATCATATAGTATTACGATTACCCACTACCAGGGATTAAACCTTAAACTTGCCTGGTTCAAGTTGAGATTTTAAAAAGAGTTCAATTCGGGTTCAGGTTTGTGGGATTGGAGCGGGTTCAGTGGGATTGGTTCAAAAAATTTTACAGTTAAAATTATTTAAATATTTAAAGAAATAAGCAAGAAAATAACTATTTCAATATTAAAATTATTTTTTATATTTTTTTTACTGTTTATTATTAAAAACGAATTTAAAACGGTCATATAATAAATTAACGATTATAAAAATATAGCGCATATGTATGAAAATTTAAAATAAATAAAACAATTGCATGAAAATTTAATTAAAAAAAAACAATTAAGAGATGTACTAGCATTGCTACATGGAACATAAATAGCAATGCAATTACTTTGATGATAGTCATTGTAATGGCTTGTAAATAGAAGGCTTCATTACGATCGCCAATTATCTGGTTTAATTTTCTCCTTGATAATGTGATAAATTTAAGGAATTCCTCACCATAAACTTCAAAAGTATTGGTGAAATAAGTGGGATAAGAATTATGTTAGCAATATTTGAATATTTGTTTATTTTTAGGATTTCTGCCGAATTGTTGAGGTGTTTCTATTGAATCGTGCCAAAAAATCGATGCATGTGTAACCCATTAGGCTGATATCACCGGGTCCGCTGTTGTTGCTTGATAGTTTGCCTTTAATGCATCTATCTTAAAAAGCTTATTCAAGAGTATAATTAATAAATCTTCCAATAAATTATTGTTCATACTAGATCTATATGGTGATAATATAAATTTTAATAAAGAAAATGCTCTTTTAATTGTGGCGAGCGGAAACTGTTAAGACCACTTCGAAAGTTTATTTCAGGCTGGATTTTCTTCATTCCTTCCAATATTGAAATATATATCCTGGTTGAATTATTCTACCTTGATCTAAAATAACAAATAGAGGGCCAACTATTATATTGAAGTTAATTTATCTAGACTATTAATAACATCCTCGATTTTGTATTCTCATCCATAAATTTATTAAATGCCAATTTGCCAAAAATCCTGATATTAAAAATCTAAGATCCAAATGCAAAACATAAATGAATACATTATTTCTAAGATTGACATGTTCCCGTATTTTTATGCTAGTTGCTAATACATTTGCAAAACTATTGATAGCCCAATCTCCAAGTGTTATATTGACTATGTAGGATAAAATCCACTTCACCTTAATTACTAGTTCTGTAAAACCTTTGTTTCTATTTCTAGAGGCTTCAGTATCTTTAATATATCATCTATTTCTCTACAATCTATCCGAATTAATTAATCCTAATAAAAATCTTTTAGCTTAGTAAAATGCCACCTATGATAATCCACGATTGGTTTTAACAATTTATAACTTTAAGATTTAAAACTGTAAGTATTCTTAGTTTTATTAATAACCTAGCCTAGATATGAAATTGTCAACTTCCTTAAATGCTTCTATAGCAAGTTTAAACTATGAGAAGTGTATTGCCATAAATACTTGAATGTAGTTTTAAGTTCTAAAATCATCCCAAAATATGGGGTCTCTATATTGAAGGGCTTTGAAAATTGCTAAATTCAGTCTCTGAAGAGCAAGGAAAGGTATCTTTATCAGGAAAATTGTCAGTCTTCATCTTCATCATAAATCTGCAGGTATTCTTGGTTTAAAAATTGAATAGATTTAACCATATTTCTTCCATTATCAGAGGTGATCGTATAATTTGGCTCTGCAGAAATTTCTTGGGTAGTTCATAATTATTTTCAAGTTTTTTATTGATTTGAGTAGTATTTAAAATAAATATGCAGTTTTAAAATAAATAGGCATAAAATAATTTGGCAGGTATTTTAAATTTTTGGTCATTTAATAAATAATTTACTAGTTTTTTAACATACTTAGTAAGTTTTAATTTTTTTTTATTTATTAACTTTAAAATAAGTCAACTGCGCCATGATCTAGCAATGAACTATTTATAATTTTGAATACATTATTTGATAAATTTTCTTATATGTATATGCTTCACAAGTAACTAATTATAATAATATCTATAATTAAGTATAATAATATAAATAAATAACAATAAAACACAACTAATTAATTTATCATGTTAATTATATATATTATTTCGACTATATAAATTATCACTTAAATTAACTTTTCCATTCCATAACAAATAGGATTTGATGACATTTTTTCTGTCGCTTCTCTCTAAATTTAATTTCTTTGCTTTTAAATTAACTTCTCACCAAAACTGTATTGCATCTAGAATTTTGATCAGGATTTCTATTTCATATTTAAAAGAAACTTTGGATTTCAGAATTTAAGTACTCTCTCAAATATTGTTATCATCATTTTAAGAAATTAAAAGTTTTCAAAAAACTGTATTTGATATAATGAATATTTTGCATTTGTAGCACACTGCGCAATATATTTCTAATTTCTAATGAAAGTTTTATGATTTTTTCATAAATTCCATTTTTGATTATAGCGATATTATTCGCATTACTATCGTGTAGGGCATAATGACCTTAAAGAAGTTGAACTTATTTTTGTATTGGTTTGAACGAAATATTTCCATGTGTTTGAGAGAATCTCGAACAAAATATAACAAATCTTTCATTGATACTATAAAATCGCTGATTTTGGCAATAATATTACATGAACCATTAACATTAGGGGCACCATAATAACATTGACCTCTGCATTTATGATGTTATGATAATTTTTTTTCTCATTGTTTAACTTTTATATGTGATTTAATAATTCATCTATTTTTTTAAGGGAGAACAGTCCCCATAAAAATTTGTCAATGGGAGCGAGAGTCCCGTTGCCCCTATTGAAGTTGGCGCCTTGATTAAAATAACGACTGAGAACCAATTCGAGAATTCTCTTTATCCAAATCCTTTTCAGGAGGCCCGCAAGAGTATTACACCTAAAAAGGTTAAATCTAAAAAAAATCAAAATCAAAGGATCTGGAACACTCCCTTTTTTTTTAATAAGGAGCGGGAGCTTGCTGCTTTTTAAAACTCGGTAGCGGGAGTGGGAGCTAGCTTTCTTCAAATGATAGGAGTGGAGGCTAGTTCATTTTAAAAAAGAGAGCGTTAACAACTCTAAAAATTAATATTCATCAAAATTTAAATGGAAATTATAAAAAAAAATATCTCACACTCTTCCATCTTTCTGTTCTGGACGAAAGCTCTAATAAAATCAAATTCTAAAAATCTGCAAATCAAATTTATTAAATTAAAATTATTGAAACTGGATCAAGCATGATTATTAACAAAAAGATATTTTAATTACATACAATGCGAATTATTCATCTTCACTTTATATATTTTATATAGGATTTGGGATCCTCGTTTTAAAGAAAGATTTGGATATAGAAAAATCCCGAGGGTTGATTCACAGTTTTTAAAAAAAAACAGTAATGCCCATATAGACGTCGAATTCATAGGGATAGCGGGGGTTGCCCCCAAATGACAAAGTTCTATGGAAATACTAACTTTAAATGACTAATTTGTAATAAAACCAATTAATTAGTGACTATTCTTCAGATTCATGATTTCTATGAAGAGCCTGGTAATAGTAAGGATGCAAAATTTAAAAAAATCAAGCATATAACTGGGTTAAAAGAAAAAATCTTGACAAATTCTGAAGTCCAATAATATTTAAATAGTAATTCCTGGCATATACAAATGATACAGAAGGGTGTAAGAAATTAATTAAGATGGAATTTAGCTTAAAAAAGGAGGATAACAATGTGCAGTAAGAATTTATTCTTTTAATTTTAATGTTGATAATGTAGCATTAAACACATATCAGTATCATACTCATGATCTTATTAAAACCAAAATTCTCAAAATACTTAGTGGTGAAAATTATAAGATAGAAACTTTATTTAAAATGAGCCTCAATCCTAAAATTATTGAGGAAAATCTGATTTTTCTAAAAATATTACCTCAGATAAAATTCTAATTAGATAAAAACATAAAAAAATAAGCCTTCAATTATAAATATAGGCAAATTGAAAGAATTACTTAATCAAAAAATAATACCAATTTTGAAGATGCTGATATATAGGCCTTTATTGCAAAGTAGCATCTAAGTTTTAATTAACATTTAGATATAAACATTTATAAATTTATATTTGCTCAATGACACAATGTGCAATAGAAACTGCAATTCCATAAAGGATTTATTTTTGATATCTATTTTTTTTATATTTGTTGTTTCATATAATATACTTGATTTCTTATAATGAAAAAATATTTCGTATAAATACTAAACAACTTTCAAATAAATCCTGAACAATTTTAGTTACAATTCGTTTTTTTAAATGATCAATAATTTATAAATACTGCCCAAAATTATTTATTTTTTAGATATTAAAAATATTGCCTATATTTTGATAAATTCTGCCTAAAAAAATTATAGCCATATTTTATTAAGCAAGAAAAATCGGAAATAAATTTGGCGCAAGATTTTTAATTAATAAAGTAAAATAAAAATAATTATATCCAAAAGTAAATAGTTACTTTTTTCTTATTTTATATTTATTTCTTTTCTTTTCTTCATACTATATCTTTTATACAATTTGTATAAAAATTTTAGACCAGTTCGGCCCGAATTTTTTTTATTTAATTGTCCGGCCCGATATTTTTTATATACGACTTTCCCGGAACCCGCTGGCCGGGCTTTACAGATCTCTATTAAATATATCCATTTTTATATCTCTAAAATGATAAGGAACTTTGCTTGTTATAAATGGGGATGATTCTCCCAAACCTTTGGTTAGGCCTGAGCCGCGACCATAGGTTGATCGAAAATCGGGGAGGAGGAGGAATCGACTGAGTTTGATGATCCGGGAAATTCGGGTATGGGGGCTGGGGGACCCAATTTTGCGAGGATTTTGGTCACCGTACTAAAATCTACAAAAACTAAACAGGAAACTTAACACACGAGTAAAAAAAGACGATAATAGTCACACTCGTAATCAATTAAATTCTCAGTTGAACCATATTAGAGATGAAGAGCCGTATGTTTTCGCTGAGCGTGGTGCATCTCATAACAATAATACGCTTTTTTATAATGTGCATGCAAGCGCTCATCGTTTTA